AGCAAAATAGAGGTGATGGAGAATAATCATCCTGCCAAGGCCCCGAAATGTCACTCGAGCAAACAGCACCTGGTTGCTTAATGGGACTTCTCTGGGGGATCGCCCAGGCATGGGAATGATGTAACAGAGTTTCCAGGGGAGAAGAGAGGCTGAATTTCCCTCGGCCAGAACTACACAACCTCTAAAATCTTTTATAGTCAATGCTATATATATATATATATATATATATATATATAAAACAAAAATGTGAACTTGGCACTCACCCTTTATGAACTGTCAAAATATTCTTGCCTGGGTGCCCACCTCTGGCGTTGATACATATAAAAATATAGACAAGGTGCACTCACAGGTCTTCTTAAGTACGTGATAAATTTATTCCAGCGTGCAAATTATTAATGCCACAATTTAATGACGATCAACGTTTCGACCCATACAAGGGTCTTTTTCAAGATGATCTTGAAAAAGACCCTTGTATGGGTCGAAACGTTGATCGTCATTAAATTGTGGCATTAATAATTTGCACGCTGGAATAAATTTATCACGTACTTAAGAAGACCTGTGAGTGCACCTTGTCTATATTTTTATATATATATATATATATATAGACTTTCTCACCCTCTGGGTGGTATTTTATGTGTCCCTTACTCTTAAGTCCTCTACCAGAGAACTGCTCTCTTCTGCACAGCGATCTAAGATTGGGGGTCCCAACTTGGGGGGGTAACAGCCATGAGTGCTCCTATCACAACTGGGACTACTACTGCCTTAACTTTCCACATCCTTTCTGGCTCCTCTTTCAGCCATGTTATTTGTCCACCTTTTTATGTTCCTTCTTTCTGATGTTATGGTAACTGGGTATTGAAATATTCACCACCACCACCACTACAGTCTTCCTTTGTTTCTACCACCACAGTGTCAGGTTGGTTGGCCAATACTTGCTTGTCTGTCTGGATCTGAAAGTCCCACAGGATGTTAGCCCTGTCATTCTAAGCTACCCTTTGTGACATCTCCCATCTGGACTTGAAGAAGGTCCAGACCATATTCTGTGCAGATATTTCTGTAGACAATCCAAGAAACGTGGCTGTGCCTCTCTGTGTATGCTGTCCCTGCTAACATCTTGCACCTGACTACTATGTGCTGAATTGTTTTAGAGGTTTCTTTGCACAGTTTGCACCTTGGCCCAGTCTGTTGTGGTAGACCCTGGCATCTAATAATCTGGTGCTGAGTGCTTGTTCCTGTTCTGCTAGGATTAGTGCCTCGGTGTTGTCTTTCAGTCCTGTATTTCCCAACCACTGGTAGGATTTTGTAATGTGAGCCACCCCATGGATAGGTTTGTCTTGCCATGAGACCTTTCCTCCTTTTCTGCATGTGTTGTTATTTGAGGCATTCCCTTAGCAGTTCATCTTTTGTTTCATCGACCACTGTGGCCTTGACACTCATCCTTCTGGCTGGTGTACAGTCTCTGGGTGCTGGATTTCGAATATAATCTTCTATTCATAGTAAATACCTATTTTGGGTCTTGACATTGTGAGGATATTTATGGGGTGATAAATATAAAAAATAATATTTTAATAAAAATTATCAAAAATATATTTAATAATTTTTATTATATCAAAAATTGATATCTTCGCACTGTCTCCCTGATTAATGATATAAAGCTGAAAATTACCCACTGTTTTAATTCTCTTATATCCTAGAGGAAGTTTCACCAGAAGATTTTTATTCCACACATTAATCACAATTTAATTATAATATAATTTATTGTGACAATAATAATAAAATAATATATGTAACATGTGTGACAATAATCAGTGAATATTTAGGTATAACATAAGTATACAACATGGCACTGGTTTAACACAATATAGATAGCTAAAAACAACAGTTATATGCACAGTTGTCAACAGTTTAAGATTTACGACAGACACTTCACAGAAAAAAATCAACATAACACCGCAGCACAGCGTAAAGCAATAAAAACTTTGGCTGACAGTCAAATCACACTGAATTAACTCTTCCACTGCTAGCTACAATCCTCATAGGCAAGATATCCTATTATGTTGCAGTTTTACAATTAAAGTAATCCTCATACAAGATCATTCACCATTCCTAGGACCATCCAATAAGAATAATTCTACCAGATTTTACGTATGCCGTATTTTAACTTTCCTAAATAATATTCACTATCTTATATCAGAACAAGTCAATACCTCTGGATAAAAATTTGGTATGCTAACATTTGGCAAATTTACTGTTAATATATTGTTATCTTTATTCCACATGCAGAAATTAAATTTTTATAACCATATATTCCTTATCTAATTATGATTTCTAATAATTGAAATCTGACCAATGTTTATCCAGATATATATTCCTGCAATTTGTAAAGATTAATTAATTTAATTAAGTAAAACCAGCATAATTACCAGTTAGGTTGTAGATTTTCTATCAGATGTGTAGATATATCCCAGGAATTATGAATGCAAGTATGAGAAGTTTCCAGAGTTCTGAAGTTGTGTTAGTTGAGTGAGTCTAAGAGTCAGAGTGTCCAAGAGAGTGTTTGAGTGAGAGTCTTGAGTATAGTCCAAGAGTGTAATTGTTGTGTCCCAGTGTGTTTCAGAGAGTCTTTGAGTCAGAATCTTCCTTTCTTCCCTTTGTCCTTATTTTTTTAAGGGGGGAAATTCTCTGCATGTCACTAGTCGATAGGACCAATAGCGAACTGTGGGCGTGTCTTCCCTACAGACTATCATCTAGATTTTGGTCAGTAGGTGGTGCAATTACATCAACGAAAATTCTTGTCAGGGTGGTCCATTTACCTTTTTGTATAATGGGTTAACTGAATATGGTGATACGTTTTACGTCATTTGGTTATCTTTTTATGGCCACTATTCATCACAGAACCTGCCATCTTCAAAGACTTTGGTTAGTTTTCAACCAGCCAGAGCGTCTGCAGTTTCGGTCGTAAAATTAAATTTGACACCGCCTAACCTTAATTTCACCTTTTTCGTACAATGGAACTAGTAATGTTCTGTTAGTTTTTTAGAAAGTAAAATTAATTACTTATTGCTATCTGTCATTTGGTGTCTGGTTTTCTTGTGTGAAACTGTGTTTAAGATTATTTATACTCCACTAACATTGGTAAATAATATATGTCTTCATTGATATTATATCCATGAATATTCTATATTATTAACATAGTACTAATTATATATGATTAATATAATAATAGTAAATTATAAGAGAATATTGTGTGTGCGTGTGTATATATATATATATATATATATATATATATATATATATGTGTGTAAATATATATTTCTGGGTTGTAGCATTCCATCCCCCTTTTGCTGTTAGACATCATGCCTTATCTCTTGTCTTGTTTACATAGGTCACATTCCTTAGCTCAGACTTGAATGAATAGAGTGATAGAGAGAGAAATCTTATGTCTGTCTTAGCCTTGTAATACAAAATGGAGTCACCTCTGTTCTGAGGGTGACTGGAAGTATACACTATTAATTTCTATCTTAACACAAAATGTCTGCCAATATAAATATACTGACAACATCCATAGTGACAACTCATCTCTTGGCCAGGTTATTATATCTGATAGCTAGTGAGGCATATGAGGATGGCTTGGACCTGTCTGAGTCTCTAGAAGTACCTGGATGTTGCTATCCTCCTTGCCTCTTCCTCATGGTTGCCATCTATTTGCGGTACCCCTACGTACTTGAAGCTGTTCTGTACATCTCCTATTTGACTTCTGGTACCGGAACTCTTTCTGTCCTGATTACCTACCCTCTTTTTTTGCTCTAATCCGTTCATACTAATCTAGTCTGAACAACATTCCAATGTACTTGCTGTATATCCTAGTTAGATGGATCAGTGAGCCAAAGTCCCGCTCAACCTTGGCATAGAGCTTGGTGTCTTTCATGTAGAGTAGGTGACTGATGGCTGATGTCTTTCATGTAGAGTAGGTGGCTGACTCTTGCACCTATATCCATATCCATATCCATATCCACTCTTTATGACGATCTGGCTAAAGAGGTTGAGGCCTATTCAGAACAGCATTGGCGAATTGGGGATAGTGCATCACCTTGGTATATGCCACATTTGATGGTCACTTGTGTTATTGTGCTGGATTTGGCTTCTAGAGTTGTTTTCCACTTGCTCGTTGATGAAGACTCTTAGTGTCTTGCTGCCTTTGTATAGGGCCAAGCATTCCAGTATGCATTGTGTCATAGGCTTTCTTGTAGTCAATCCAGATTGGTCTGTCTGATCGTAGA